TCCTATGTCTGGACACACTTTTCCTTCTGTATCTCTTAAGCCCCTACTGACACTTACTTCCTTACCAGACTGGCAGGTCAGTGGTGCAGTTAGTGAGAAAAGCAGCAGAGTAGGGCTTGTTTCCAGGTTTTTCATGTGAACTTGGCTGGTGGATGGGTGTGTGTTCCGTGGCTGAGGTGCAGTACGCGTGAGAGAACTCAAAGCCATCCAATCTATTGTGAGATTAAGTAGCTGTTCAATGAATATTACTGAACAAAATGCCCAGAGCCTTCTGGTGACTTAGCTCTCTGCCCTTTCTCATTATTCAATCAGCCAATAAAAATTTATGGCATACCCCACATTCCCAGCAATGTGTTAGACCTAAGAGAGAAAAATGAATTCTCAAGTAACTTACAGTCCCATTGGGGGAAACTAAGACCACTCAAGTACATGAAAGGTTCTAGAGAGAATTCAAGAGTTTTCAAGAGCTCCCTGGAGCAGAGAGGGGTATCAGTTAACAGGGATTCCATAGCAAAATCTTTTGGCATCTCATCCCCACTTAATGCACCTTTATTTGGTAGGTGAGTCAAGCAAAATAATTGAGATAATTTGCTTGTTGTTTACAACAAATCTTTTCAATGTTTGCATATTCACGGGCCTTCCCCTACTAAATTTGTAAGTTGAAACCTAACCACCAATGTGATCATCTGAGGAGAAATATTAGGGGCCTTTGGGGAGTGATTAGATCATAAAGGCGGAGCCCATGGGTAGGATTAGTGTCTGTACAAAAGAGGCCCCTGGGAGCTGCCTGGCCCCTTTCACTGAAGAAACCGTGAGAAGGTGTCATCTCTGAGCCAAAAAGTGGGCTTTCACCGAATACTGAATCTGCTAAAGCCACAATCATGGACTTCTTATCTTCCAGAAATAAATGTGGGTTGTTTATAAGTCACCTGGTTTATGGTGATCTGTTACAGCAACCCAAATAGACTAAARTAATTCATTTGTATTTTGTTGATAAAAGCAGAATCTAAAAACAATCTGTGTCCAATGGATACGACTATGATACTATGATAAGCCCAATTACAAAAGAACATAAAAATTAAGGGAAAAAAAGTCATATGTTTAAAAAACAGACTCGTCAGCTTGAAGGAGGAAGGACTTATTATCAGCTGGACTGATGGGAGGAATTTGAGAGAGGAAGATGAGTTGAGCTGAGCCTTGAAGAACAGGTGCAGTGGACTGGAGAGTCTGAGGTAGATCCAACAGGAAGTACCTGTTGAGGGACCAGTGTGATAACAAGTGTAGGCTGGGAGTTAGTGGAAGAGAAGGCTCTTAGGTTATTTTTATTTTATTTTAATTTTGTAGTTGTAGATGGACAGAATGCCTTTATTTTGTTAATTTTTTTATGTGGTGCTGAGGATCAAACCCATTACCTCACGCATGCTAGGCAAGCGCTTTGCCACTGAGCTACAGCCCTARCCCTGGGTAGATTATTGATGACAAGTACTACATCATGAAACTCTTTTATGACTGACAAATGTTTACTAAGCACGGACTTTTGTTAATGAGTCACTTCCATTTTTATTGTTGTAAAATGTTCTCTTTAATGTTTTTAAAGATGATCTTTTCAGTGAAGGAAGTAAAGTGATCCATAGTAATAGTTCCCCTCGTCTCCTTGGTTCCCCTGAACCAGTTATCATTTCACAAAAGCCCAAGGAATCTAAGCCTCCAGGGTGATCGCAGAGGTCCTGGCCATGGACGCTCCATCCAAGCAGACAAGGCTCTTATGCAAGCCTACACTTTTCCTGGGATGATTTTTCAGTACCCATCCTGAGTTGCCCCTTTCTGCAAGTTCTCCCTTATGCATCACTTAAATGAGACAGAGTGGTGTGTGACTCATCCCTGGAAAGGAGTTGGGTTGTGGATTCAAGTCTGTCTTAGGTCCCTGACTTGCTATGTGACCCTTAGTGCCATTTTTCTCTACCATGAAAGGGGTTCATAATTTGTATAGCAAAGTTCAATGGTGAGATTGTGAGATGCAGACATACCTAAAAACTACTCTGTCCTCTTTGAGCCCAAATCAAACTGGAAGATCCTCTGTCCCTAGTCTCTTTTAGGCATACTGGAAAACTGAGAAATTTGATTGTTTTATTTCTAAAAGAATTTTCATGGCAGAAGCAAAGGACTCTTCATCTTGATTTGGAAGAGTGTTTCTTTTTTTCTCAGAGGCTGTCAAAAGTCAAATTCCTGTACCTTACCCCAGCCTCACTAAAATCAAACTCTCCAAGGATAGATCTAGGAATCCACATTCCAGCATGCTTCCCAGGTGACTGTGGAGTAGCTAGAATTTCAGTCATTTATAACCATTCAAATGAGTCACATGCCTGCCTTGCTATGATTTCTGGATCCTGAGAAGAGTCCAAAAACCAGGCCCAGGCTCCATGGATATTCATGAAAGACCAACTAATATGAGCACCTACTTTTGACAAGAACAGTGCTAAGTATTAGGTACAAAATGGTGAGCAAAACCAACAAGATATAGTGTCTGCCTTCCTGGGAAACCTTTCTATTTATAGCACCTGATCTATAAAATCTATCTATAAAAAGTACACAAACAAGCCAGGCACAGTGGCCCATGCAACCTGTAATCCCAGCAACTCGAAAGGCTGAAGTAGGAAGATGGCGAGTTTGAGGCTTCCCTCAACAACTTAGTAATACCCTGTCTCAAAACAAAATACAAAAGAGGGTTGGGAAGTAACTCAGTGGTAAGTGCCCCTGGGTTTAAAAAAAAAAAAATACACAGAACCATAAATTTAAAATTGTGTTTTGAGAGAATATGGAAGTACTCTATAAAAGCTTGGGAAGTCACCCACTGTCAGAATAGGTCTTCCTAAGGAACTGGTGTGTGAACATAGCCCTGAAGGATGAGGAGGTAAACAGTCAAAAGACCCTTCTAGACTTCCCTTGTCCAATACAGCAACTGTTCTTCAGTGACTATTCATCTTAAAGATTAAATAAAACAGGAAATTTGGTGTCTGACTTACACTAGTCACATTTCCAATGCTTAGTAGCCACATGTGGGCTACACTATACTGGGCAGTGCAAAGACTGTGCCTATTCATCATCTTGGAGAATTCCCTTGGCCTGCCCTGGTCTAGACCCGGGGTGGTGCAACAAGTCTGACACACCACCTACTTTTGAAAATGAAGTTTTATTGGAAGCCAGCCACACTCAACTCTTTATATATTCTCTGTGGCTGCCTTCCCACTATAATGGCAGAGTTGAATAGTTGCAACAGACCTTATGGCCCAACAAAGCCTAAAGTATTTATTTTCTGGCCTTCTATAAAAGTGTTTCATAAAGAAACTGCCTTTTCATGGCTAGCTAGCACATGAAGAGGAGTGAGATTATGGTGATGCTGCTTTGCCAGCACACACACGCACACACACGGGCAGCTGCTGCTGTGTTAATCTCTTCTTTTTTCTCCCCATCTGTGGCTTTTAAGGCAGCAGTCTTCTCGTCTAGACAAATTGGAGCAGGTCCAAGGAAGAGCAACTTTGTTGGTGAAGCAACTGTGTCCTTTGAGGCACAGTTCATGTTGGTGTAATTTTGCACTGGGCTAGAGGCTAGACTAAAGGACTCCATGTTTTTCCCCTTTTTGTGGTGCTGGGGGGTGGAAGCCAGGGCTTCATCCATGGTGGGCAAGTATTCTACCCATGAGCTACAGCCCTAAAGGACTGTGAAATTCAGTTATCTCCTTCTTTGAGGTGCTGGGTAACACAACAAAACTTTTAACTTCTGCTGTTGAAGCTGACGTACTTCGTGAAATTCTAGCTTCCTTGTTTATTCAACCAATGTGATTTTAATAATTCATATCTATTATGAGATGTGACCAATAGACAATGGAGTTCAAGATCAAATGGATCTTGATTTTGAAGAGCACCTCTCCTAAGTTATATGCTCATGGAATTTCTTTAATTACACATTTTACCCCAAGTTTTAAAAAATCCTAATATAAGCTTGAGTTCTCTTGAGTATCTCAAAGAAACTTCAGGAGACCTCTCATCTGAAACCTAAACAAGTTACATGGAAGTTTAAAATCTCTTTTGATACATTTGGATTAGATTTGCTTAAAAATACTCTTAATGACTATATATAAATTTATTGGCCCATGTTCCTCATACATTTTTTTCAGATTGTTGTTTTCTCTTGCAAATGAGCAATTGATTACTAATAGGCATTGTTGATCTGCTATGATCCAGAGTTGTACTGCTGTTTTGCCTATGATAGTAGCATTGTACTACCACACTGAAAATCAAAAAAGACCTTGGCCTTATTTGCGTTACCGTCTAGCAGGTACAAGTTCTGTGTCTGTACTGAGAGAGGAACTGACATACATTATTTCTAATCTTTCTGATAGCTTTGGAAAGTAAATTTTATTATCTCTCTTTTTTCAGATAAGGAAACTAAGGCTCAGAAAAATTTATTAAATTTCCCAAGGTCACACAATTTAGTAGAGACACAGAAGAGCTTCAGATCCAGACTTATTATGTCCCTTTCAATGCTATCTATTTTTGTACTATTTCATTTGTTTTCAAATAGGATAATTTAAAGTATATGGTTTCACAAGAGCTCAAGTCTGAATTTTCATGATTTTAGTCAGTCTGAATTTTGTCATATATTTTTTTAATCCCCTTAGCACTGAATTTGATTTCTAAATTTTTTAGACACAGATGTTTGTTTTTCCCATATTATATTGATATTTTGTTTTGTTTTTAAAGACTGGGGATAGAATCCAGGGCCTCATGTATCCTAGGCTGGTACTCTGTTGCTGAGTCACATCCCAGGCCTAATTTTTTTTTTTTTTTAATATTTAAGTTTTTAATGTTAAATTACTATTCTTCTGTTTATTGGCTGAACTTTTTTGTACATAGTATGAACTATTGTTTTTGTTGGTTGGTTTTCCTAGATCAGAAAACCCCCAAATAAGCATTGTTAATCTTACTTTACTTTTGTTTCAGATTTGATGGGAACTTTAATACCAATGTATCTAGAACAATCAGTTGTGATCGACTTTCCACCACTGTTAATAGTCGAGCCTTCAATCCAGGACGAGACTTAAATTCAGGTCAGTAATTTGTTTGTTTTATAAGGGTGAACTATTTTCTATCAAGTTTAAGTGGAATACATGTATTGCCTCAAACATTTTCCCTCACATTTTGAAGAAAATTATCACATACCCAAAATTGGATATTTCTTTCTGATAAGTTAACCCTCAATAGAGAGAGGAAAAAAAAATCAAGCTGGCATCTACTGTCTAGTTATACATATGGCATGTGCCAAGGACCTTGCTAGACTCTTCAATCCATTATCTTGTTATGTGTTTTATATTTGTATTTTAAAGGTTACTTTAGAGACCTACTTATGTTTGCAACAGAATTGTTGGACTTCATTTGCATTGCGTATTTATAATTTTAAATTGGGGGGTTTTCTGGAAGAATGATGGAAGAGGTTTTCTACCAGTTAATGTTACCACATAATATCATAGATTCAGGTTAAACTTTCTTCCTATCTCATTGGAACTCAGGTCCATGCAGTGGGAATAACTACTAAGTACCTATGTTTATCTTAGCTCCTGACAGCGTCAGAGTAACATGATGTCTCTGCTTTCTTGCCCTGGAGTTCCACTTCATGTTTCTCCCATTTTGTCTGGTGTACACTTGCTGATTGATGGATCTCAGAGCCTGGAGGCTTCACCTTTTTGGAGCTGGAAGAAATTTTAGAAATAATACCAGCCTCAATTTTTAGATATTACTGAGGAAGAAGCCAAAGCCCAGAATGGTCCTAAGTTTTCCTTTATTACTGGGAAGTTGAAGGATAAAATCCTTGAACATGAGAAATATATTTCCCAAAGCCCACTTCTTTTGTAGACATGCAGAACCCAAGAGAGAAGCCATAGGATGAGAACATTTACTTGTAGGGCCCCAACCAGTCTCTGGGAAAGAAATATATAATCATGAGGAACTGTATACACAAACCAGGCAATCTACTGGGTCTGGAAAAAAAAAGACTTATAAGTTTTATATTTCTTAGAGATAATAAAACTATAGCTGCTAGATAAATGGTCCAATCCAAATATGCCAGGCACGTATTCTCTGGGCCAGTATATAGTAGAGTCAATAATTTTTAAAAAAATTTTGTTTTAACATTTATTTTTTTTAGTTGTAGTTGGACACAATCTCTCTATTTTGACTTATTTTTTAATGTGATGCTGAGGGTAGAACCCGGGGCCTCACACGTGCTAGGCAAGTGCTCTACCACTGAGCCACAACCCCAGCCGAAGTCAATAATTTTTTAATTGGTCAGAGAAACTGAAAGCCTTCAGGAGCAGGTAAGGTTTACTGCTAGAAAGGAAGATAAATGAGAATATTTTTCAGTAACAACAGAAAAAAAGTAGATAAAAGTATGGAATGGCCAAAAAAAAAAAAATTAAGTGTGGAAGATTTCATAACTGACACCGGGCTCAGAGCTGGTACWTTATTCTCCAGGTTCTCAAATTCAGTACTTTACCTCTTTCCCTGAAAAAAAGTTCATTAACACAAGACATGTGACTGGGTCTGAAGATTTGAGGTTGAAGCAGCAATCTTTTAATAGAATCAGATCTAAGTGTGTCCCCAAAATGTACAAGGTAATTTAATATTGTATGTAGTTATTCTTTTTTGCAATTCATGCAAACTTGTGGGATTATTTATTTGAATTAATAAAGAAAACAGTGCATTACATCATGTACAACCACAAGAATGGGACGTTATACTTCATGTATGTATACTATGTTCAAATACATTCTACTGTTATCTATAACTAAGGAAAAAAAAGATATTTTTAGTGCAACTGGTAACATCACAGAAACTTTATAGTATTTCTGGAGAAAATGATTATTACCATAAATGATGAAATATGAAATAGTTTGCCATTGGTAATATAATTTAATCATATTATTGGTAATATGATTACCTATGAAATATACAAAATGCAAGTACAGTTGCCTCCCAAGCAGCACCACCAAGTCCCTAGAGTTCAGCTGGCTGCGTCCGTCTCTACACTGTTAATAAATCTTATTCTTGTTTTCATAATTTGATAAAAAAAAAGAGAGAGACAGAGAGAAAACAATGCATTATTCATTCAAACAAGATCTAGAAGGATCTAGTCATTAATGATAGTGGGTATATTTAAGTGATGGAACAGTGGTGTATTTTATTTTCTTATTTTAATTAAGCATTCATAGCTTTTATAATTAGCTTATTATAAATCAGCTCCTGATTATTTATAATACCTAGTATTATGTAAATACTAAGTAAACAGTTGCTATACTTATTGGTTAGGGAATGATGACAAGAAAAAAAAAATTTTACCTGATCAGTACAGATTCAGTTTATTTCTGAATATTTTTAATCAAAGTTTGGGTGAATCCACAGATATGGCTGACTAACTGTACTTTCAAATATGTTTGTTCTCTATTTTGGTAGCTAATACCTTGCTTAACCTACCTCTGACAACAGATCCTCAGTCTGGTGCTGAGTTTCTAGCAAAGCTCTGTTATCTCCTGGCTCTATGATTGGGACCATAAGAAAGGGCAAATTGGGGCAGGCGGGTGGTGCATGTTCACTTGTGTCCAGAATGAGGCTCCCCTGCCAGGGCCACCAACCTCAGTGGGTAGGCCAGACCTTGGAGGATCTGGAAGCTTCTGCAGCCAGGGCCACATCCCCATTTCCTTATTTTGAAGGATCAAATCCTTAAACATGACAAAAGTATTTCCCAAAGCCCAGTTCTCTTGTAGACATACAAAACTCATTCATGCATCATTACTAGTAGTATTATACCTTTTTCTTAGTGGATACAGAAAAAGCAATTTTTTCCAAGCTATTGCCTCTTCTCTACCAATTGGAAATAAATACATAACAATGTGTTCAGCAGTTATTTATTAAGCATTCTCTACATGTTAAATTCTAGGCCAGGAGCTATAAACAAAACAAAGAACAAAATTCAGAGGTTAAGAGCTGTAGATTTTGAACAAATAGACAAGTAAATGCCCAGGTCGATGATGAGGAGTGCCTCTGTGGTTCCACTGTGTCCCAAGGTGAGCCTGATGAGAGGAGCCTAATGCTAGGTGTTCAGATCTTGAGGCTTCACCCTGCTGAATGGGTGATGCCAATTATCAAAGCGCTTGAGGCTGCAAGTTGGTCTCATTCTCTCTTTCACCCATGTGATGCCTTCCACCATGCTTCAAGAAAACCTCCAAAAGATCCTGTCCCTGGACCTCAGATTTCCCACCTCCAGAGCTGTGAGCCAAATAAACCAAATAAGTTACTCAGGCTGTGGTATTCTGTCAAGGAAAAATAATTCAGAGTTGAGACAGGGAATGCTGTTGTTTGGGGTTTTGGTGTGGAAACAGGAGGAGACTTACTGTTTTATGTAAGGGCTCATTGGTGAGATCTGAAGAAGTGGGGGCTGTAAGTCATGAGAATAACTGGTGGGAATATATCCCATGCAAGGGTCTTGAGCTAGGAGAATGTTGGGTGTGCTCCAAACTACAAGAAGCTGTGATGGAGTGAATGATGAAGGAGAGTAGAAGATTAGGTCAGATAAGTAGTTGAGGGCTGGACCACCAAAAGCCTTTCCTTACTGGCCATTTTAAGGATTTTTAGCTTTTGTCTGAATAAAATTTAAGGCCATCAGAGGGTTTGATGCAGGGAAGCAATCTACTTAATTTGAGCTGCTGTGATAAGAGAAAGGCCAAGATACAGGCAGTTAAGTGAGATGCTTATTAGATGCCTAAGGAGAAAGGACTTTGGACAGTTGGCTATACAGGCCTATAGTCCAGGAACAGGGTCAGGCTAGAGATTTAAATTTGGGACTTATCATGTCTAGGTGTAGTAATACCTCAATTATGGATGGAACTTGCTAAAATCATATAGCAGATGACTGGAGTTAGAAAAGAGAAGAACTCCAGAGACTGTCTTAGGACACTTTGTCACTTAGAGGACTCTCAGAAGCAACCCAAAAGGAATCAGAAGGGACAGTCAGTCTCCTAGGGAGAGAACCAAGAAGAACATCTCCTTGAAGCTAAGTGATGAAAGTGTTTCAGAACACTTTCTTGGGGAGAGATTGACTGTCAGGCAGTCCCAGTAAGTGAGGGTTAGAAACCTGACCACAGGATTTAGCAACATACAGTCACTGGTGAGCCTGAGAAGAGGTGCTGGGTGTAGTAGCAGCATAGAATGAAAGGCTGATGGCGATGGGTTTAAGCTCTTGAGAATGGAGGAGAGACGTTGAAGACAGTAATTGCATGAGGTTTTGCTTAAAGAAAAACTGAAGGGCCTTAGGAGTCCAGAGTGTATTTTTACATTGAACGAAGGTAGAGCAAGTTCATGTGATAAAGGGAATGATCCAGCAGAGAAAAGCTAATGATACAGGAGCCTTCTCCTCGATGAAGTGAGAGATGGTTGCATCACAGGTAGAGGGAAGGAAAAGTCAGTGATTAGAGATGCCCAGAGGATGATAGGTGTAGTGTCACAATACCTGGAAACTGGGGACATTCCTGCTTTAGTAATTCTATTTTCTTGGAAAATCAAGAAGCAATATCATGAGCTAAGAGTTAAAGACCTATTAGCTGAACTACAGTTACATTCTGTTACTAAGATTTAGAGTAAAACTTAGCTGCACAAATGATCAAGAACCCCTACAAGAGCTGGGGTACGATTCACCAGTAGACTGCTTGTCCAGCTTGCATGAGACCCGAGGTCAATCCCCAGCACTGAAAAAGTAGAAGAATCTCTATGAAGTGCAGTGTTTGTTGTTAAAGGAGAGTTAAGAGGATTTGAAAACTAGAGTGAAGATGACAGGGGTAAGTAGAACATAGAGACTTGAATTTTGACATTTCTAAGAGCATGACTCAAGTGTAACCTACTGCCTACCAAGAGTTGTTCTCGCCACAGTTGACACAGCTAGATTTACAAGCAGCCTTTGGCAATATTTAGGTATTTAAGAACTGATTTGCTTTTGAAGTCGTGTGTCGCTCTAGCAGGCAGCGGCTGACTCCCAAAGTCCACATACTTGAGCAGTTATTTG